TATATATATATATATATATATATATATATACATATATATATTTGAGAATAATCGTACTCATGATAAAATAGCAAGCAAACAACAGATCTAAAATAAACAAGTAGCCATGTCCCTATACCACAAATTTCTTTTAACTCTGAATTCTTGCTTTGCCTCCTTTCAACTTCTTCAAGTAACCATGTCCCTATACCACAAATTTCTTTTAACTCTGAATTCTTGCTTTGCCTCCTTTCAACTTCTTCATACTGTGTTTGAATTTGAAATAAATGTCTTCCCGGTCGTCCCCACCACAAGAAAAATTTCACTTAAACAAAATACTTTTATATCGGATCTTTTCTATTATTGTCCATATTTTTCATTCAACACTTGTACTCATTCTCACCATTTTCAAATAAACTTAAATTGAAAAATCATGCAAAATAAATAATAAAAATGGAGAAGAACAAGAGGAATAAAATGGCTAACAAAAAAATCAAAAAGAGGAGAAAAAAAGAAATTAAGGAGCTACTGATTGGTGGTACCATGGCAATGGCAATAGCAAAAAACTGAACACAAAGGCTATGATGGTGATGCAATAGTAGTGGAAGCAATGGTACTGGAAAAATAGCAGCAATCACATTGACACATCAGTGTTGTCGACTCCTCTTGTGGGAGGGATTCTCCTACATGATGTGTGACTCCCAGGTAGTATGGTGCATGTTCGTGAGCTAAAGTTCACATTTCTAGTTTTATTTAGATGAAATAGGTTTAGATACAAACTATAATGACAAATAGGTTATGAGATTGTAAATAAAAAAATTTCAACACCTCATAAGAAAGAAAATTGAGGTTTATGCCTCATTATAAATGCATTAGCATGCGCCTCACACATTCTGTTTATAAGCCTCAATAGCTCCACATAAGATGTAAGCATCAATAGTATTATTGTGTGCCCGAGAAGCACCTTGATGCCTCAAATAGTACAATTTTAAGCAATGCTTGCCCGTACTAATTTTTTAACGAATTATTAGAGTATATAGATTTGCTTCCATAAACATCAACATATTATATGAAAAGTACAAGTTTGAAACTAATAAGGTAGCTTTTGGATGCACGGTGTTAAAGATTTTCAGTGACATTTATGCCAAAATTTATACTACCATGTTTACAACAATTATTCATCGATATGCTTTTTTACTGATAAAATCTATATTGAAAAAACAATATAGTAACAAAATAAATTCACATCTATTTCTACAAGTGAGTTTTCTACTTGTAAACCCAAACAATATCAAACATATTTTTTTAACATTATTTTAATAGTAAAAATTTCCCACCAAGGAGTTGTCTACCTAAGTCATTCTTTGAAATTTGCTTCAGTGAATTCTTTTTCCATTTATATGTGACATTGGCTTTCCAACATAGAAACTCATGGTTAATCCACCAAAAAATGTATCTTCATGGTATTTTTCATTGGCTTTGTTAGCCAGATATGAGATATCTTTTTTAACTTTCATAAACTTAAGCTAAAAACTAATCAGATATTCAATAAAAATGAATGACAAGGAAGGATGCATGAAAAGCAACCCAAAATAATAGTCACTGGGCTAGGGACAATGATGCTTATGATAACGACAAAGTTGCTGACACTATTATTCTGGACAACAACGATTTAATCATGACACTTAAATAATGCTTATAAGAAATCACACATCTTTAATAAAATGCAAGTCGTTTTCTTAAACCTTAAATATCAACACCATTATTGATGACTATGATTTGTTAATTCTTATTATTACAAGTCATTATGATTAAAATGATTTTTTCCATATTAAAGATAATCATTTCTTATCTTGATAAGCAACAACTTTAATCTGTATAGGAAAAAAAAATTAAGTACCTTACCCACAAGTGAGCACAAATCCACTATAATATCAAAACCAAAAAGAATGCATTTACTAGGCCGCTCAGCCATTTCAAAGTCAAAAATGTTGTGCAATCACGAAGCACGATACAAAATTAATAAATCAAATCTCAGAAAATATGTCTGGTGCATTCTATTGTATCATCTTTGTGATATAAGCTGGTTTAGTGATATAAAACTACTCATAACTTCATTCTTCCAATTTGTAGCTTAATTGATAGTACTTGTATTTGTCACTCATACCGTATGATAGGACCGTGTGAATGACTTTCATTCAGATCATAGTCACAGCCTAATGGGAGAAAACGTAGTATAAAGATAGGTTGAGTAAAAAAACTAATACAACAACAACAAAACCTTAATCCCACTACGTGGGGTCGGCTACATGAATCCTTTTTCTCCATTGCGTCCTATTTAGTGTCATATTTTCATTTAGTTCTACTAAATTAAGATCAATTTTTATCCAATAAGCCCAAGTCTTCCTAGGTCTACCTCTGCCTTTCTTAACACAAGTCGAATCTAAAACATCCACTCTCCTAATCGGATCATC